TGGTGGGATTATTATCCTCGGAAAGCGATCCACCAATCAGCTAACAAGCAAGTTCCTGCTTACTGCTAGGTAAACGGAGGCGTGTGGAGTAAGGAAACTTGCCTACGTTCTATGAGATTAACCTGGAAAATAATTGCTTTTAAGTACTGAATTTTTCCCGGGGAGGTGGAGGAGGGAGTTTTGCTTCTAATCTCCTTAATAGTGAAGGCTGCATACAGCAAAAAAGGACAAACTTTAGGAGGGGAAGAAAAAATGAGGCAGGCAGTTTAATGATCCTGCTGATATTTACATGGCCTCTCTTCCCCCCCCCCCCCCCATCACCCCTAATCAATTGGAATTTGTTTTTTTGATGATTTTTGATTTTGGATCTTGGGATTTAGATTTTTACTTTCCCTCCACTTTTAAGCCTATTTGCCAAGAGGAAGAAAGCTCGCCGAGCGAAATCAGGAAGTAAGGAAGAACCCAGTGCAACCCTGGAATGGCAAAGGGTTGAGTGACATTGATACACAGGGTGCGACTTGTATAAAGGACTGCTATTGTAGGTGCTGGTGTTCTGTAGAATCCTGTAACTCAGTGGTTAGAGCACTCGCATCGCAAGCGAGAGACTTGGGTTTGATTCCCGGGCAGGGTGAAACATTGGGCAAGTTTCCTTACTCCACACACCTCTGTTTACCAGCAGCAAGTAGGAACCCGGTTGTTATCAATTGGCAGATCGCTTTTCCGGGGATAATAATCCCTTCTCATTTTTGAAAAAATTAATAATAACAATTTGGTCACTCAATCCATGACTGTTTGTGGGACGCTGCTGTGTGCAATTGGCTGCAGCGTTTGGGCCACAAAATATACAGAGACGTCTCGAAGACACGATAAGGCGCTGTATCAAATACAAGGATTATTATTACATGGCATTCACAAGCCAGTGAAATATACATGTGCATTTCGTAGAATGTTTGAATAGATTGTACTCCATGGATGGGATTGAATTTACCAAGGGGGAAACTGAAAGATATTTAGGAGATCTTGTGGGGAAAAAAAGTCTTCATAACTGAAAGCCACGCCCTGATGATCTATTCTCATTACTTATTGTTCAAGCTTCAAAACCTTTTATCAAATGCTAAAAGCTCGCTCGACTATTAACCTACTTTCCTTTGTAAGTGCTGAAGGTGCTTGAGCTATTGTAATGTATATGGTTTAATCGTGTTATCTCCAACAAGGAAATGATAACTATACTGCAGGGTGGGTCTAGTAGTATTAAGTTAAAGGAAGAAAGTTTTTTTTTGTTTCGTAGCTCCTTAACAATCTTTAAACGCACTTTGATTACAGTTCTGTTTAGTTGGGAAACGTAGCAACCATTGTGTTGTCTCTTGAGGGATGGGGTCTTATTTTCATGTCTCATCTGAAGGGTGGCACCTCTGACAACGTGGCTTGTGAGCTCAAGTCCCAATGGAAGAATTGACGATATTTCACCCACAAAATATACAGTCAATTCACTTTGCAGTGTATCCTGTGAAGCGGTTTGAGACGTCCCAGAAGACGTGATAAGGCACAATATTAAATGCAAGTACTATTATATGACTTAAACTGGATACCGAGTTGGCTGAGGTTGTGGAATTATGTCCTATTCCTGCTGATAATTGCTTTATCTTATTTTGAAGGTTATTCACTCCTCTTAAACACGCTTGTGTATTGTCAGCTATCTCCAACCATCCTCTTTTCACAGGTTGCTCCAATTCTCCAGGGTTATATTTTACTAGCTCGAAAGAAGTTGCTCCCCGAAGGGTTTTGTTCGGATTTAGATTTTCAATGATGGAGTTGCTAATGCGGAAAGAAACGAAAAAAAAATTGCTCTGGTCTTTGCTGTTGTAGTTTGCCACTCTGTGAACCCTCCCTACCCCCCACCCCTGCCCGCAACCCCCTCCACACACACACACAATTAAATTACTCCTTTAATTGCCAAAGTGCTGTTCGCTTGTCGTCCATCCCAGTTTCAAAACAGCAGATGAAGCCAACGTAGAAACATAGAAATAGGGCTCTTCTGCCCCTCGAGCCTGTTCTGTCATTTAATAAAATGATGGCTGATCTGTACCTCAGGGAATTCTCTGTCTTGGTGTTGGATCTTAGAGCTTGTTTTCAATCAGAGAAGCATGAACATGACCTTTTGTCTGATTGCATGTATAATTAACCTGTGCTGATTTGTTACTAGCTCTCCGGGCAAAGGTAGGTATTGGAGTAACTCTTGCCTCAATTTTTTGCATCTCTAAGAGTGGCTTTGCCCTTCCTCCCATTTTGTTTCCCGCACTCGGTTGTATTAACTGTTTGATTTATTATCTGGTGTGTATATATAACACTCCAAATATTTTCCTTTGAGTTCTGTTGCTGATATTGTCAGAAAATAACAAGAGGGTTGATCAATCAGGATGTGTTTTCTCAGACTCTGAGCTAGCTTGTATGGTTCTGACTACTAGACTGTACAAATAGTCCTGCATTACAATGACATTACAATCATAGAATATTACAGCACAGAAGGAGGCCATTCGACCCATCGTACCTGTGTTGGCTCTTTGGAAGTGCTACACAATCAGTCCCGCTCTTACCCAGTAGCCTTGCAATTTTTTCCTTTTTAAGTACCTATCCAATTCCCTTTCAAGCAGTGCATTCCAGACCGTAACCTCTGTATATTGAAAAAAAATCTCCTTGTCTACCCTCTGGTTCTTTTGCCAATTACCTTAAATCTATGTCCCCTATTTACCGACCCAAATGCCAGAGGAAACAATTTCTCCCAATCTACTCTTATCAAAACCCCTCACAATTTTGAACACCTTGATAAATATTTCCCGTAACCTTCTCTGCTTTTAAGGAGAACAAGCCCAGCTTCTCTAGTCTCCCCACATGACTAAAGTCCCTCATCCTCCTCACTGTTCACTGCGTTCCCAAGTTTTGTGTCATCTGCAAACTTAAACAAAATGTTGCTCTCTGTACCCAAGTCATTTATGTATATTAGAAAGAGCAGTGGACCTGATACCGACCCCTGGGGGACACTACTGTCTACTTCCCTCCAGTCTGAAAAACAATGATTCACCAACTACCCTCTGCTTCTGTCTCAGTGATTTGAGAGGCAGTGGCAGTTGCAGTCCTTGTCTATTTCTTGCTTGCTTCACTTGGCAAGCTTTGCACAATGGACGAGTGCAAGATTATGAACGCCAGTTAAGAACGTTCTGTTCCACATTTGTTACACTGGCTGTTTCTTCCTCTTTTGAATATTTGATAAATGAAGCCAATGAATACTCTTCGCAGGACTTGTGAATGCAAATATAATGTTTTCCTTGTTTGCGCTGTGTTTGCATGCTTTACAATTGATCACTATATTACCTCTGCAGTTCTGGTGGGTCAGCAACTTCCTCATTACAGTCTGCAGCAATTTAGCTGCCTTGAGTGTTGTAAAATAGATTTAGCTAAATAGCCTCATCATCAATATAATAATAATCCTTGTATTTGATATAGCGCTTTATCAAGATGTCTCAAAGCGCTTCACAGAATATACTGTGAAGTGAATTGATTGTATTTTGTGAGCGAAACGCAGCCGACCATTGCACACAGCGATATCCCAATATTGAGTGACCAAATTTTTATTTTTTTATTCACAATAATCCTTGCAATTTTCTAGCACCCTATCCAGCTATCAAATCTCAAAGCACTTCACAAGTAATGGCGATTAAAATTATTAGTGATCCTATCACTTCTGCATAGAGGAGGGAGTTTCTTCTGCTGTCTTGGACAACAATTCCTCACATAATTTGGTCGTTTTCTTCATGGTTGTTGATGGGTATTGCTGGGGTGCAAATTTGGCTGTTACGTTCACTCAGACCAATGGTCTCAGTACTTGACCATTACTGAAAAGTGCTTTGAGAATTTCTTGTGTCGTACGGTACGATCAGAATGCAAGTTCTCTCAATCGATAAGATAAAACCGTGTTTACCTTAGCAAAGGGGGTATAAGTGAGTGCAGAGCTGCGCCTAGTAATTCTGCTCCTAGTAATTCTGCTCCTAGTAACTCCCACTTCCAGCCCCCAAACCACGTGCTACAGGTTTCCCCCCCACCCCACCTGATGGTTTCCCCCCCTACAGGCCACACACCCTCATCACCTCCTACTGGTGCTCAGAGTGTCCTAAGGCAGGGACATGAGGAATTCACATACTTACACACTTGTTTGTGTGTTACGTTCGTGGGAAAAATTCCCAGAAAAAAATCTTTAATTTGATTGCTTAACATTAGTCTGTTAACATTTATCTGCTTAACGTGCTGTCAACACCCCCCCCACCCCCACTCTAAAAATACTTCCCTTGACCCATCTTTGTGCTATCTCCAACCTGCCTTTCCAATAAAAGGAACAAGCTTTGTTGTCTCCTTTCCCGGCACTCCCTGCATGTCTCCATGCTGCCCACAGTACAGAGAATGTTCTGGTCAAAGTCACCAGCGACGTTCTCTTTACCTGTGACCAGGACTCTGTCTGCCTCCTCGTTCCTCTTGATCTTTCTGCCACCTTCAACACTGTTGATCACGCTATCCTTCTCTGACACCTTTCCTCTCAGCTTCACCTTCCCATTTCTCTCCTCGACTGGTTTCATGCTGTCAATGTCTCTACTTTGTCTCTTCCAACAGCTTCTCCTCGCATCCTCAGGTCTCTGTCCTCAGTCCTTTCCTCTCCATGTTCCCGCTCAGTGATGCCATCCACAGACATGGAGTTAACTTCTACATGTGTGTGACTCAACGCTGACTCTTTATCTTTCTGCCACCGCCCTTGATTCCTTGGCTCCACTGGCCATGAAGACAACTTCCTATGTGAAAGACACTATAAATGTAAATTTGTATTATGCAGTCACCTTCTTTATGGACAATAGAGGCCACTTCTGCCAGAAGTTAGTTGACATGTGAGTAACAGGTGAGTTGTTATGTCTAAAGGTGTCTGGGTTTGCTATAAAGCAGTGTTCTTCTCCTCCTAGGTTCAAGGAAGAATGAGCCTTTTACCTCTGCAACACATCCACCAGAGCAAAGAATAGCTGCTCAAAGACTATCGACACGCAAGGCTCTGCCTCAGCTAAAGAACTCGCAAGTAAACCCTCGAGCCCAAAGCCATGCCCGAGGAGAAGAGCTCGGCTGAGAATTGCCCCAAGAAGAAGCTTCCCATCAAGACCCTGAAACACAGATCAAAAGGTGATCAAAATGGAACCAGGGACTTCGAGGAAACGCACATGTTTCCCTGTAAAAACTGTGAGCGCAGATTTACCACAAAGCAGGGGCTGGAGCGGCACCAGCACATCCACATATCGACAGAAGGCTTCACGTTCAAGTGCAAATACTGCGGCAAAGCCTTTGGCACCCACATTAACATGAGACGGCATGAGAGGCGACACGAGGCTGCGCCGAAGAAAAAAAACATCGTGAAGGGGAGCCCTGCTCTACAGATTCCAAACGAGGACTTCGAGTTTGACCAGCGAGCAATTGACATCAGTGTCAACAACTCGATGAGGCTCGAAAGGCCTGTGACCCTGGAGGATGGCAAGATAAGTGTGGCCAAGGACTCCAACCTGGAACCTTCCAGTGCAAGAGCTTGTGAACCCAAACTGCAGCACCCGTGCAGACTGTGCAAAAAGACTTTTGGTTCATACACCAACCTGCGGCGGCACCAAAGGCGTATCCACGAGCGCCCACTGCTGGCCAAAGGTATTCGGGTTAGGAGGAAAGGTTTGGGGGACGAATCAAATCTAGTGTCAGAGCAAAGCCTGGCTTCTGCCGGGAATCGTACAACACGCACAGAAATGGAAGAGGAAGAGGAGGTGGAGGAGGAGGAAGAAGAGAGTGATGAAAGCCAAGCATACATCATGGACGTTTCCAGCAACATCTCTGAAAACCTAAACTTCTACATCGATGGCAAAATCGAATCAAACAGCAACACCAGCAACTGTGAGGTGATCGAGCTTGACACGACGTGCACAAACCCATACGGACTGGCCTCTGTGTTGTATGCGGTAACCGATGAATCTCCTCAGAACCTGAAGATCACCGCCCAAGTTGCAGCCAATCATTCGCATCTCAAGGAGCCATCAGACAGGGAACTGAAAGGTCCTAAAAGGAGACGGACCATTAGCCCACTTCCATTTGGAAAAGCCAAACCCGACCTGGGCGTGGAAACCATCTCCTCGGCTGTCTCCTCACTGTGTCCTTTGCCCCTTCCTGCTCAGACCACCAACGCTTTGACTGGACCCCTAGAAAAAAACACTTTCTTAACCTCCAAGCTTAAGCAGCTTCTTCAGATCCAGGACGGCAACACACCACGGGCAGTGTCGGGGGAGAGCTTGGCGATAGTCACTCCCTCAACCTCGACCGGGGCAGCTATGGGCTTCAGCCGCTTCAAGAGGAGAACCAGCTCCCCGCCAAACTCCCCCCAGCACAGTCCAGCTCTCAGCGGCACAGGGAAGGACGCTGAATTCATCCGGTTATGGAGCGAGAGTTTACCGGGGCTGAAAGTACCAAAAATTGAGAGCCAGAATAGTTCCCCGGCCTGGAGCTTGTCCAGTCGGGAGGAGGCTCTCAGCCCGCTCAGCGTTGATAACGCAGGTAAAATAACGGGGTCTAAAGAGTGCCAGACGAGCCAACTGGTGATCAATCTCTGCAGCCAACAACCCCTGGACCTGTCAAGTGGCAAAGTGCAAACTGATGTGAAGACAGAGAGCAGTGGGTCGGGAGTGGCCATCTTGGATTTAAGTTTGCACAAGAAGCCGTGCAGTGAAGGGGATGTCAAAGAGGAAACGGGGATTGCTGGCCCACACGTTATGTGCGGCAAGAAGAAGAGAAAACCCACCACCTCTATGTTGGAGAAGGTGCTTCTAAACGAGTACAATGGTACCGATCTGTCGGTGGCAGACAGGCAAGAGCCAGAGGGGAGCCCGAAGGCGTGCCTAGGGGCGGAGGCCCCACTTCAGGCCACTTCTGAGTCAGCCCCCGCAGAGCCTTTCATCACCAGCCCGGTCCCTTCCCCCCTGCCCCCTGTTCTCTCCGTGCCTTCGCCCCTCCCGCAGTCCAGCACCTCCGTCCTGCAGGCGGTCACTCCAGCTCTGTCACCCGTCAGCGTCCACATCAAAGAGGAGATTAGAGACAGCGACTATCCAGATTCAGACAGTGAGCAGGAGGCCAGCCATGCCCTGCCACCCACCATCGAGCCAGAGATCCCCCAGGAATCACCAGCTGAATACTGCCCCGAGGAGCAGGAGGGGGCGGAGGAGGATTGTCAGACCTCGCCGGGAGATCACGAGAAGACAGAGCTCGCGTTCACTAAAAACTTCACGTGTAACGTATGCGAAATGCCGTTCCTCTCCATCAAGGACCTCGCCCAACACCTGCACGTCCACGCAGAGCACTGGCCCTTCAAGTGCGAGTTCTGCGTCCAGCTTTTCAAAGAGGCGGACTGTCTGTCGGAGCACCGGTCCTCACTGCACGGGGTGGGCAAGATCTTTGCCTGCTCGGTGTGCAACAAGGAGTTCGCCTTCCTCTGCAACCTGCAGCACCACCAACGGGACCTGCACCCAGGCAAGGAGTGCACGCACCAGGAGCTTGAAAACGGGATGCTGAGACCTCAGAATTTCACAGACCCCAACAAAGCCACCAGCTGCCCCAGCCAGTCCACGGCCCAGCCCGAAAGCTCCATCCCACCACCTCAGGAGGAGGATGATGATAATTCCACCGACTTGACTGAGGAGCTTTACACTACAATAAAGGTCATGGCGTCTGGGGTGAAGTCGAAAGGGCCGGATGTCCGTATGGGTCTCAACCAGCGTTACCCCAGCTTCAAGCCGCCCCCATTTCAGTACCACAACCGCAATACCCCCAGCAACGGGTCGTCCGCGGTCAATTTCACCACCCACAACATCCCGCAGACCTTCAGCACGGCCATCCACTGCACCAAGTGCGGAAAGAGCTTTGACAACATGCCGGCCTTGCACAAGCACATCCTGGCCTGCGCTTCGGCCAGCGACAAGAGGCGCTACACCCCCAAGAAGAACGCCATCCCGCTCAAGAAGAAAGTGTGGAAGAAAAATGGGGCCCTGGGAGGCGAGCCAGCCCGGAACAGCATCATGCGGAGGATGGGGCAGCCCAAGCGGCTGAGCTTCGATACGGACAGCAAACCCAAAGCCACCATCAACAAGCTAAAGATGAACGCTCTGAAAAGGAAGCGGAACAGGCTGGTGCAGAAAGCCATCGCCCAGAAGAAGCGAGCATCTGCCAAGAAGAAAGCCATGTTAAACACCAGAGGAATGGAAAGCCACCACTGCCCCTACTGTGTGAAGGAATTCACTTACCTGGGCAGCCTGAACAAACACGTGACCTACAGCTGCCCCAAGAAACCAGTGTCGCCTTCTGCCAAAGGCTCTGGCTCGCACTCTCCAGCCAGCAGTGAGAAGGGGGCAGTCCAGCGGAGGAGGACAGCGGACACGGAGATCAAGCTGCAGAGCACTCCGATTCTCTTGGGCAAAAGGCGAGGCAGAATGCTGGGGACCTTGCAGACTGAATCGGTTTCCTCAGCACCTCGGTTGCAGCAGAGAATAAGATCGCTGCCCCCGATAAAATCAAAGAAACCAAACAACTCCTCCGTCACTTCCAGGACCACCAGCCCGGTCAGATCAGCCAAAGGGTCAGTGGCAGAGAGCAAACGGTTTAAATCAGATGCTAGGCAGCGGACTTCCGCCACCTCAACAGGCATGGCATCACCCAGGCTGTACCTGCGAATGAAAAACAAGAAAGTGGTGTGGCAGAGGAAGGCCAACGTCCTGAAGCAAAAGAGACCTGAGAGATACTCTGGGAGAAGCAAGGAGACCCGGACTGGGGCCATCACACGCAGTGGGGGCCCCGCAAACACCGATAGCGAGATGGAAGATGATCAGGAGAACCAAGACTCATCTTCAGAGGATGTTCAGGTAATTTACCAACGCAAAAAAACATTTCTTCTTAGGTGTCAGTTTAGCTGAGTTGGTAACACTTTCGCCTCTGGGGCAGAGGTTGTGGATTGAAGCCTCATTTCGGGACTTCAAGTTTACTGTCTATTGCGCTGTAGCATAGTGACTAATTGTCGGATTTGCCATCTTTTTGAATAACGTTAAAAACAGATCCTATTTGATCCACCCCCTCCACTTTTTCTCAACAGTTTCTTCTCCCAGGCTTGTATAGTCACACACAGTGTACCTCAGGGCCCTCTCCCTTTTTTTTCCATCTCCATGTTTCCTCTCAGTGACATCATCTGCAAAGGCTCAGCTTCCACATATGTGTGGATGTCACCCAAATGCACTTTTCCTTTTCTTATTTCAATCCAAGATCCACTGATGTTCTGTCTGTTAGACATCAAGACCTGAATTGAGCAACAACTTCCTGCAGCTAAATTTGGCCAAGACAGAAGCCATCCTCCTTGGTTTCTGTCAATGCCTCTTCACCTCCGGCTCAGATTTCATCAACCTCCCTGGCCAATCTCTCGAACTCACCAAACCAATGTGCAACCTTGGTATGCTCTTAGATCCCTAGCTGTCATTCCTACCTGATTTTCAGTCCCCGAACAGAACGGCTTTCTTTCACCTTTGCCACATTGCCCACTTCCAAGCCTATCTCACACTGACTACCACCAAAACCCTCATCCACACTTTTGTCCCTAACCTGCTTTGATTTCTCAACGCACTCCTCGCTTGTCTCCCCAAAGTCCATAAGGTTCAGCTCATAAAAACCGTCGCCCGTATCCTACATATACTGAACCCCCATCACTCCAATCCTCGCCAGGCTCCACTGACTCCCTGTCTCTGGTCAGATCCTTACTCTTGCATACAAATCCCTTCATGCCCTAGTACCTTCTTACTCTGACGACGACAACAGCAAATTACATGTGGATAGCGCCTTTCACGTTGGGAGGATGTCCCAAGGCACTGGACAGTCGGGGAGTTGGGATCAGGAGGGTTGGAGACTCTGGCACTGCCTGAAAGGTGTGGTGGAAACAGATTCAATAACAACTTTCAAAAGGAAATTAGATATGTATTTGAAAAGGAAACATTTGCAAGGATATGGGGAAAGAGCAGGGGAATGAGACTGATTGTGCAGCTCTTCCTAAGAGCTGGCACAGGCACAATGGGCCGAATGGCCTCCTTCTGTGCTATAATATTCTACGGTTGTGGGTTTCAAGCCCCATGTTGGAACTTGGAACCACCTAGTCGTATGTTGATGCTTCAATGCAGTGTGAAGGCTGAGGGGAGCTGCATTGTGAGGTGATGTGCTTCGCCTCTGTCTGGTTGTGCAGTTGGATGGTAAAGATTCCATGGCATTTAAAAAGAGAAGGGAGGTTGGTGTCCTTGCTGACAATCCCCCAAATAAAATTGGTCACTCACTCCATGGCTGTTTGTGGGACATTGTTGTGCAATTGGCAGTCATAATTGCCTTAAAATATGTAGTCACTCCACCTTACAGCATATCCTGTGAAACACTTTGAGACATCATCCTGACGTGAAAGACACTTACCAAGTACAAGGATTATTGGAAGTCCTCCTGTCGTGAAAGGCACTGTTATACAAATGTAATTTTGTTGTATTATTTATATATTTGAGGAAAATGTTACAATGGTCTCGATCTCTGAGGACCTCTAGTGGCAGATGGTGGGAACCGCAGCACTACCTTCAACATTCTTATATTAGCTGAGAGGGGTCGCTGGTTGTTTGACAGTGCACCTGAGTAAGTCTGCAGTGGCTACAGTAAAGCTCAGTATTGTTCAGATAACATTCAATGCTTGAACTGCACAAGAAATGCAGGTGGATGTGAGATTACAAAAAAGACACTGATCTAGCAATACAAAATAACAGAAGGAGAAATCTCAAAAGGAGCTGATGGAATATTAGAAAAGGCTCTTGTTTTTGTGCTTTTCATCTGTATTAAAGTCAGAGGATAGTCAAGAAGGGGCCACTGGCGGGGTGAGGACGTGAAAACAGCAGGCTTCTAGTTCAGAGTGAGGGCTGGTTACACAAAGTGGGGCACAGGAGAAAGCACAACAGCAGCTTGCATTTATATAGCGCCCTTCACGCAGGGTAGTGTCCTGGAGCACTTGGAACCATGGGGAGTGAGAATAGAGATAAATGCATATTATAAATCATCTTTATATTTGATATAGAGGTTTATCATGTTGCCTAAAATGTCTTGAAGCCCCTCACAAGATGTACTGTAATGTGTAGTAATATTTATTGACAAATCCAGCAGCTAGATTGCGCATAGCATTGTCCTCAGACACCAGAGAGAGAATGACCAGTTGTTTTTATCTGGAGAATTGTTGTTCTCTTTTACACAAGTGCTACAGGATCTTTAACATCCGCCTGAACAGATAAGACCTTGGTTTAACAAAGGATGGCAACTCTTAACAATTCAGCACTAGTTGGCAGTGTCAGCCCAGACTGAAAGCTCAAAATCCCAACATGGGGATTGATCGCACAACATTCTGATTTAGCCGAGAGAGTCCTTAAGATTTTTGCCCTGAATAATGTAACCACAGGAGTCTGCTGGTACTTTTTTGTTTCTCAAGTTCCCAGATAAAATTGGTTATTCATTTTATGGCTGTTTGTGAGACGTTGCTGTTATTTAATGTGTTTCACCTGGATTATTATGTGAAAATAATTCTGATGTTTCAATTTTACAGGTTTCTCTAGTGAAGATGGTGAGGTAACAACCTTGTTTTTATTTCTCTTTAAATAAACGACCCGAAGTAAGACTTTGAACGAGCCTGCCATTCAGATGGTCTGCGAAAGCCCGGGTCAGACAAGATGGAAAGAAGCCTCATGAAATCTTGACGATCTAATCGTGTGTGAGTCGTTTTCTTTGGACTTGTATCCACGGAGTTGATGCTGGACCTGGCAAGCTTGGCACCTAGAAACGTGCAGCTGACACATCCTTCACTTGCTCAGGCTCTGAGGTGAAGACAGTAGCCCCTGACTGGGAGCAGAACCCAGCAAGCACTTTGAAACAGAAAAGCAAACGAGCACAGAGAGCAAGCCACCGTGCACCGCTGCGCTCCACTGCAAGCCAGATCCCAGCTTTGCTCCAACAGACAAGACACAAAACAAACTACCGGAGAGCAGCGCCCGAGAGTTGGCAGGGAATCGGCCTGCCCGGCGCACGCCTCCCTCCTCTTGTGTGTTTTGTAGATGGAAAAAAAATCAAAAATCCATTTTGAATTTTTTTTTCTTATTTTAAAATTTGCTATTTGACGTTTGCGATTCTTTAAACTCTGGGGGTTCGTGGCTGTGAGGCTCTCCTCTCAACAGCTGTGTAGCCATCCCCCAGCTCTTCCTTCCTCCACGCTCTTCCACCCCATGGTAAAGTCAGGCAGTACGTTTTGTACAGCAGAAGCAACTACAGCCAGTAATCTCGGGTCACTTCACATCCAACAGTTTTTCTGGGCTTCAGTGGTAATTTTTTTCCCCCTTTTTTTTCTTGAGGATATTTGTCTCGTCCTCTTGAGCTTCTTTCTACTGTAACTTTTGGGAGAAATTTTAGACACAAAGGGGGGAAGATTTCACACAACACATTTCTGTTCTTCTCAACTTAAATCTACCTCTAAAATGTTTGTAATTGATAATTTCTTTGGCAAAGTCCACTTTAACTCTGCAGCTGTCCAGACCATTCCTGTTTCGTTCCATTACTTGGGGGGGGGGGGACTTTGTTGAAATAAATTGTATGAAGTGTTTGTAGTAATAAATAACATAGGATATATTTAAAATTATTTAAATCGTCTTCTCAGGCAGCACTGTCTGATGTTTGTGATTCCTTTATTGCATTGTTAATTTTCAGTTTTTGGTTCATTTTAATTTTTGGGAAGTGAGAATAAATGTGTAGAAATGTTTCAGTAACCCGGCTGCTGTGTAAGTCTTGTGTTCATTGGAAAAGGTTACACATTGTAGGGAATCAGGAACGATCTTCACCATTTATTGGTCACTCAATCCACGACTGTTTGTGGGGACGCTGCTGTGCGCAATTGGCTGCTGCGTTTCACCCACAAAATATAGAGTCAATTCACTTTACAGTGTATCCTGTGAAGCGCTTTGAGACATCTTGAAGACATGATAAGACGCTGTATCAAATGCAAGAATTATTATTCCTGGGTTGACAGTCTCAACAACAACTTGCGTTTATTTAAAGCCTTTCACGCGGGGTAGCGTCCTGGAGAGCTTGACAGTGGCAGAGCAGAGTCTGACCCCGAGCCAGGGGGAGAGGGAGGGGGGAGGTGACCATAAGCACAATCATAAAGGTCTTTAGGTGATCTTTAGTGCTGGAACAGAGGCAATACTCTCACCTCTGTGTGTATTGTAAAGCAGCCATTGTTGCATGGTAACTACTGCCTTTCAGATGGAAGGAGGGAAGAGAACCACTTGTATTTATAAAGTGCCTTTCTTCGACGATGATAGCTTAGTCACAGTGCCAGCACTGCCACATCACGGTGTAGACACACACTCTCACTAGTCTCAGAAAAACACTTGCAACTGGTATTTTTGTGTCTTTTTAATTTCCCACAAACAGTCCTCCTGAGAGAATAGCAATTTAATTTAAATTTGCTTCAAACTAAAGGTGTATTTTTCCTGCGGATTCATGTCTGGGATACTGGCCGCTCAGTGCACACACGACAGCTTCTTCCTGTCAGTTGGGGCTGGATTCTAGCCAGGATCCAAAGGTGACTTTCTTGAGCTGCTATCCTAGACACGTGCAAAGCGTAAAAGAGAAAGATGAAGGCAATTTGAGTATTTAACCTCCAGATTTGAATAATAATAATAATAATCCTTGCATTTGATATAGCGCTTTTCACGTTGGGAGGACGTCCCAAAGCGCTTCACAGAACACACTGTAAAGTGAATTTATATGAAATATGAATGGATATGAAATAGCCCAAACCTTGTTTGCATTCTTATCTGACAGTTTGCACAGTGCGTCGTGATTAGTTTCAAGTGTCCATTGTTCGATGTTTGAAAATGTATTGCGTTAATCTTCAGTAATCAGCTGCCGGCATCTCACGGATTTCAGTCTCCATATCCTCATCACCTTTGTTCCCTCCTCGTTAATCATTATAAGCGACGTGGCAGAGTCCCACAGCCAGTCAACACTCAGTGAATTTTACTATCTAGTCAGTGGATAGCCAGAGCTGTTTCCTCCCATCTATGCAGGAGCAGAAGCTTGTGCATTAGGACATTGTGACACATAAACTTGTGACATTGTGGAGTCCTGTAGCTCAGTGGTTGGAGCACTCGCCTCGCAAGCGAGAGACCCAGGTTCAATTCCCAGCAGGGTGAAACATTGGGCAAGTTTCCTTACTACACCGCTTCTGTTTACCAGCAGTCAGTAGGAACCCGGTTGTTAGCCGATTGGTGGATCACTTTTCCGGGGTTAATAATTCCTTCAAAATAAACAAATAATTTGGTCACTTCAATCCATGACTGTTTATGGGACACTGCTTGTGTGCAATTAGCAGCCATGTTTCACCCACAAAACATAGTCTATTCACTTTACATTCTGTGAAGCGCTTTGAGACGTCTCAAAGACGTGATAAGGCGCTTGATCAAATGCAAGAATTATTATTATTTCTGATCTAGGTGGCAACTAGGAGCAAAGGCTTTGGAGCAGAAGTGGCTTCAAACCAGGCACGTGCCCAAGAATCTAAGGATTAAGCAAGGTGCCTGTAAAATATGTGTTCTGTGAGGTACCTAAAGACCCTGTGAGGCACCTGAAGGGGAGATGGTTCCCTCTGAATAAGTAAAGGAACTTGGATTTACATAGTGCCCTGCATATAGGGTATGTTTCTGAGCACTTTACAAGGTCAGAACAGATGCATTCTAAGATGCTGGATTTGATGTGTGACTTAAAGACAAAGTGGGGGTGGTAAAAAGGGAGTTCCAGGGGTTATATTTTTAGTTGGTCAGCCGAGTGTCTGACATGTGTCTGACATCACTATGCTTAAGAATATCCACACCAGAGTTCCATGCATCCTAACCTATAGATGGAAATTTCAGAGATATTTATTGGAATGAAATGCGCACTCTCTCCCTGGAGGGATGCATCCTGTTAACCTAATTCTGGAGAGTATTAGGCGCAGGTTGGCAAGAGCCAAGGCTTGGGGATCCCAGATGGCGTAACTGCTGGAGTAAAATGTTCTGTCCCAGAAGAGACATCTAAAAGCAGAATGGATGGAACATTTAAAAAGGGATAATGATATGTGGGAAGAAAGGAGATTGAAGGACATGGAGAATTGGTAGGCTAATGGGATTAAAAGATTTGCCCTGATCTAATAAAAGGCCAGAAAGTCTTGTCCTAAAGAGAATGAAAGGACAGTCTCGATGAGACAGAGCCTCCTAGCTGGAGCCCACCACTTAGCTGAGAGACAAACCATTAATAAGGACAGCGAGATGCACTCAGCTGCTGGTCAGTGTCTAACTGAATAAGCAGCAGAGTGGAAACTTAACTGCTGTATTAAACCTGAGCAGTGACGTAGCAGCAACAAAGAATCTTAATGCCTTCACAGTGTTCACTGATGATCTGCCATGCTCAGCAGCTCTGATCAGCTGGTGGAGATGGATCTTGTGCCGCTTTCCGTTGTTGATCTCAGGCCAGAAGATTGAGGAACAAGATCAGTATCAAAACAAATGATGTCTGATTTTAACTGGTTAGACTCCAGCAGTACCTTCAATGTAAACTCTGGGGTCCTCAAGCCTTGGCTCCTGCCAACCTGCACCTAATAGCTTAAGAGTTGTGTAGTTCATTGGTTAGAGCACTCGCCTCACAATCAATAGGACCTGGGTTCAGTTCCTGTCAGGGTGAAACTTTGGGCAAGTTTTCTTATTGCATATGCCCCTTTTACCTAGTAGTAAGTTTGTCGTCGATTGTTGGATTGCTTTTCTGGGGATAATAAATCCCTTCAAAAAAAATAATAATTTGGTCACTCAATCCTGGACTGTTTGTGGGACGTTGCTGTGCGCAATTGGCTGATATGTTTCTCCCACAAAATATACAGTCAATTCACTTTACAGTATATTCTGTAAAGCGCTTTGAGGTGTCTCGAAGATGCTATATCGAATGCAACGATTATTATATATAAACACTGAAGTTGCTGGGAACACGCAGCAGGTGTTGGAGAGAGGAACACTGCTCCATCCATGGAGAGAGAAAAATTAGTCAACTTTTCAGGTCAATGATCTTGAGTCAGAATGTATTATTATTATTAATAGTCTCCAGATTAGCTAAGTAGGATGCATCCCTCCAAGGAGTGAGTGCATAATCCATTCCGATAAATATCTTGAATTTCCAGGTGGAGGTGGGATGCATGGAACTCTGGTTTGAACGGTAATTAATTCACACCCAAACAACTTGGTGTCTCTGTTCACAGGGGCAGTACCTGACATCTAGAAGATGCTTAAAATGATTCACCGTGCCTGTCATTCCGGGAAATTTATTTTACATTTTCGCACGTTGGTTAAAAGGCAATGCATCACTAGACAATATATGGGATTTGTGGAGGTTTAAAGTGGATTAATGCACGATATTTGTTCAACAGAGCCTCCCGATGTGGAAGGCGCTATACAAATGTAATTTTGTTGTTGATATTCAAGCCATGTGCTTTGCGCTAGAAAGGAGCATTAACTCTAAAGTACATCCCTTACAAGGGAACTCGAGATGGAGACTGCTGATGTCAGTGACGTAAATTTCACAATAAGCATGACCAAACAAGGCGGGGAAACTCTTCTCTTTTCCAGCAGCATCAGGGCTAACGTCTGCCTTCAGGGACAGGGAGACAAGTCAGTTTGTGATCTAAAATAAGACACGCACTTCATACCTTCAACAGCAGGTGCCGCCCTTGAGCTGTAGGTGCACAGCCCAGCAATGACCTCACAAACACTGCAGCGCAATCAATCCCCACCCTCACTGCCTTGTGGAACGCTCTCTCGTAGGTACAGTTTGTGCAAAATAAATAGTCATTTCTTCTCTTCTAAAGGCATCCAGACATGTTGAGGGTTTCAATCACTACTGGGGAGGTTCCAACAGATTGGAAGCTGTCCTTGGGGAGGTGGGGGAGCGAGGGTGTGAGGGGAGGTAAACAGGCTGATGAGCTGTTGGGATTAGGTTGACTTTGGCCTTGGGCACCTTCCAGAGTATCTCTTGCTGTGTCAGTATGAACGCTGAGTGTCAGTGAGCACAAGTGCCTGGAAGTGTCACCCTAAGTAAGGTTGTTCCTCACATCGCTCAAACACAAGAATCGTTTACATGTTGGACAATGTCACCATTGCTGTGAGCAGCTCCTGTCAAAAACAACAACAACTTGCATTTGCACACCGCTGTCTTACAAGGAGCTGCCTCTGGAGGTTAATTTATAATTTGATATTAAAAGCTGCCACAGGCTCTCGCACAATGTGGGTAGAATGATGGATTGTTCTGTGACTACCATATATGGTCATATGGCAGCTCTTCTCCTGTATATGGCCTGGACAGGCAGCTACTGTATATTGTCATTGCCATATATGGCAGCTCCTGTATATGGCCTGCACAGGTAGCTACCATACATGGCCTTTGACCTTGCAAACCCCCCCCCCCATATTTGGATGTACCATCTTACCATATATGGTCATAGTACAGGACGTCCTGTACTAAAACCCTACTATATTTGGTCATAGTACGGCTTGTGCCCGGCACAGGACGGCCTGTTCCATAAAAGGCTTTATATATAAAGGACCTGACAGAGGGCTCGGAGCTTGCAAAATGGACCTTACCATATTAGGTTATCAACTTGGTGAGGTGATTGGGGAAGGTACCTATTCCGTAGTGAAGAAGGCCTTCTCGCCCAAACTTGGCAAATCAGTTGCCATAAAAGTCATTGATAAATCAAAATTATCAAAGACGTACATCAACAAATTCCTCAAGCGTGAAATCAAAACGCTAACCCGGTGTTATCACCCCAATATTGTCAAGGTCCATGAGATCTTTGCATCTCAGGACACCTTGCTCATTGTTATGGAGGAAGCCAAATTGGATCTGTATGAATTGATTAACTCCAAACATCACCTATCAGAAAGGGTTGCCCGGCAGATCTTTAAGCAGATCACTGAGGCGCTGAAATATTGCCACGATCTCGGTATCGCTCACAGAGATTTAAAGTGTGAAAATATTCTCCTGATTACTGAAAATTGTCCGAAGCTCTCGGACTTCGGGTTTGCTTGCTCTGACGATTGTAGTTCATCGACATTCTGTGGATCTCCAGCCTACGCTGCCCCCGAGATCCTCAATGGAGAGGTCTACAATCCCTTCAAGGCTGACATCTGGAGCCTGGGCGTCATCTTGTACCTAATGGTCACAGGCTGCATGCCCTTCAATGACAATGACCTCTCCAAGCTTGTCAAGTTACAAGCTCAAGCTTTAAAGTTTCCTCCGACACCTTGTCTCACCGCCTGTTGCCAAAATCTCATCATCAAGATGATAAAGAAGGATCCAGCGGAACGGAGCAGCATCAACAACATTCTTGCCCATCCGTGGTTCCAATGTGCTGAACAAGGCGCTTGAGAGATAAGAAGTAAAAGCAGGATAGGCCCCAGGGCTTAGTCTGGCTGTGCCAGGCCAAACCCTGGGGCCTATTCTGCATTTAGATGATTCTCCATTTTCTAAAGGGCCTCACGGCCTGGAGAGGCCTGGATTCCTTGCAGGGATTCAGGCTTCTCCAACCGTGAGGCCCAGTTTGCGTTCAGTTTTTTAGGCTTTCAGATAAAAGAAACTTCAGAAGCTAACCATGGAGATTCGTGTCATAGGAAGAAATAGGTCTCAGCCTCGAGCGGGGGAGGGGTGTACAGGCATGAAAGCGGTCATTGTCCAAACTAAATAATAATAATAATTCTTGCATGTGGCTCTGTGTGGAGTAAGGAAACTTGCCCAAGGTTTCACCCTCTGCCTGGAATTGAACTCAGGTCTCTCACTTGCAAAGCGAGTGCTCTAACCACTGAGCTACAGGACTCCACTCTAAATGGCAAGATCCCTGGCTTTCTGGCCTGTGACAAGGCTCAGACCCCCAGGTCCTTAATCCAGTTCTATGGGCAGCTGGTGACCATACATGGTCATTGCCAAATATGGCGGGAGCTGCCAGGTAGCTACCATATATGGTTGTTGCCATATATGGCCTTTGATTTTGCAACCATATATGGTCCTGTAACACAAATAATTTTTTTGGTTCATTCGAATTCATGTATATGTACATTTATTTGGAAATGTTCCTGTGTCTGGAAATTTCTCTCCCTGGAGGACATCCCCCCATGGATGGGTGTGCATTTGTTCAAGCACAGTTGTCCAACTAGAACCACATTATCCATTGGGAGAGTCGAATGAGGCCTCCAGGGACCAGTCATCTCTCACCTTTGTCATCTTCCAAACAAAGCCCATCCCTGCCTTGACCCCATTCCTACCGCTCTCCTCTCCTCTCCTCACCTCCGAGCCACACCTCCCCCCCACCACCCCATCAACAAAATTATAAAGCAGCACTATCAACGACATTGTTTCTCATCCATCCATGGCTCCAATGTGGTGAACAAGGCGCTTGAGAGAAGAGAAGTAAAAGCAGGATAGGCCCCGGGACTCGGTCTCGCTGTGTTGGACCAAACCCTGGGGCCCAATCTGCATTCAGATGATTCTCCATTTATATGGATGCCAAAGGGTGTGTGTGTGTGTGAGAGAGAGGTGTGTGTGTGAGAGAGTTGCGATTCATTCTGACCATCAGCAATATTGTATGTGTGTGTGAGAGGTGTTGTGTGTGTGTGTGAGAGATGGTTGTGTGTGTGTGTGAGAGAGAGATGGCTGTGTGTGTGTGTGAGAGAGAGATGGCTTTGTGTGTGAGAGGTGTGTGTGTGAGAGAGGTATGCGTGTGAGAGAGAGATGGCTGTGTGTGTGTGAGAGGTGTGTGTGAGAGAGAGATGGCTGCGTGTGAGAGAGAGATGGCTGTGTGTGTGAGAGGTGTGTGTGTGAGAGGTGTGTGTGTGAGAGAGAGATGGCTGTGTGTGTGAGAGAGGTGTGTGTGTGAGAGGTGTGTGTGTGAGAGAGAGATGGCTGTGTGTGTGTGAGAGGTGTGTGTGTGTGAGAGAGAGATGGCTGTGTGTGAAAGAGAGGTGTGTGTGTGAGGGAGAGAGAGCGTCAGACCTGCGGTGTGATTTGCGGGAGGCACAGCCAGTCAGTGTGTTGATGGAGTCAGTGACAGCCTGGCTGTGTGGCTCTGTGGCTGTGGCGCTGTAGCTCTGTGGCTGTGGCGCTGTGACGCTGTGGCTGTGGCTCTGTGGCTGTGGCGCTGTGGCTCTGTGGCTGTGGCGCTGTGGCGCTGAGGCTGTGTCTCTGACGCTGTGACGCTGTGGCTCTGTGGCTTTGGCTGCGGATTGACACCTTCACACAGCAGTGCCAGGTCCTGCAGATAGGTCAGTGCGAGACTCCCCCTCCCCTTTGGCTAAACACCACCCCGTGGCTCAGTCATTCTCACTCTCAGCCGTAGCTCAGTCACTTTCACTCCCAGCCGTGGCTCAGTCACTCTCACTCTCAGCCCGTGGCTCAATCGCAGGCTCAGTGGGTTGAGCTCATGGTCAGGCAGGGAATCACTTGTCACCAATGCTGAGAGGGAAGGTGTGAGGAGTGGTGCTGTGTGGTGGGGTGTGAGGTCTCACTGACACACACTCACGTTGCCCTCTCTGGAGCTCTCTGTGCTCAGTGCTCCCTCACTGTTGTTGCTCAGTTGGAGTTGATGTGATTTATCGGATGGTCGAATTAACTGCAGGATAATTAGGGTGTCTCAATTGTTTAGCTGTCAGCACAAGTGTTCTTTGAGCTGATTGAATCTGAGAGACAGTGTCAGACACACATTGTCCATTGTACACAGACACTGTATATTGCACTTTATTTTTATTATTTTTATTTATTTTATTGGTAATTGAAAATAATAATCTTTGCATTTGGTATAGTACCTTATCACTTTGTCTCAAAGCACTTCATAGGATTCAATGTTAATAATAATAAGAATAAAAGTGTAGTGACTGTGTATGTGCAGGTCAAAGCAAAAGACGATTTTCACACAGTAATGTCCCACAAAACGGCCATGAGGTGTGGGACCAATATTGCTGATGTTAAGCTGGTCAGAATGAATGGCAGTCTGGCCCAGCTAGGCAAAGCTCTCTCAAAAAGTTCACTTTAACAGTGAATTTTTCATGGGTTAGCAAAATAGATCATAACTATGGTCAAGGACACAGGGGAAAATAGAGAGAGAGAGAGACGAGTTGTGGCAACCGCACCGTTTTGTACAGAATCAACAGAATGACAACTAACATAATGTGCCACAGCAACTCACTCACTTCACACACTGGTTATCTTGGTTTGACAATGGCAGCCCACTGGCAGTGCAGGTACCAGCCTCACAAGGCAGGTCTTGCTGTGGTCTCCTCGTACAAGCTGGCACAGGCTGGTCTTCAGGTGGGTCTACAGGAAAAGACCTGAATGCTGAATTTTTTGTTTCCACATTGTGCTGGTCCCTAGAGAGCGAGAGAGAGAACGAGTAAGTGCGATACACAGATTGATCTTACATCTATCTCCTCCCTCTGTCTGCCCACAATCCACAATGACTCCATCTCCAATAATCATTGCTTTCCCAGAACCTCTCAATTGTACATCTTCAGTCTGCCTTTCCTCCATCCAACCACACCCACCCCTCTGCGCTCTCTTATTCATCAATCTAAATTGGTTATTGAACTCATGGCTATTTAAGGGACCTTATTGTGCATCTATTGGAGACTGTGTTTGCTTACAAATGACATGCAGTCACTGTCCTTTACAATAATTCCCTGTCAGGCCCGTTGGGTTGATGTTAGAGGCAGCAAATTTGTATGTGAGAGACATGCAGAGAGGTAACCAACTGCTGTTGTGGAACCATTGCTCAGTGGGTAGGGACGTGTGTCTGAGGTGTAACAGGAAGATGGTGGCGATGCTGTCACACATTTCATGCTGAGCTGTGATGCCCACCAAGAAGCTCATAGGGAGGTTCTAGTACATGCCATTCACCTAGTGCAACGACTAGTGACCATTTTCCTTGGGAGGGGGTTTCCTTGGAGCTGAAATGGATCTGAGGTGACATTTTTGGCAACAAAATGTCAAAACTGAATCCAGCCTCTGTGCTGGTCTGGGTAGCCAGGCAGGTCCACAGTATGCCAGGACAGGACAACCAGGCTGGCTCATTGGTAGGACTTGAAGGAGCAGACCAGTCACTGGGGGCAGAGACTTTTCCCACTCAGCTCCTGTTAATCCGCAAGCCAAAGCCCTAATGGGCAGGGTGGTCCTAACTGGGCAAGCCGCAGGGAAACATGTATAGGTGGGACATGTATGGAATTCTCAGACTGGGTTGGAGACCGTTAAGCATGAAACTCGACACCAACTAAAACCTACACAATGCGAGCGAGAGGAAACCTGAGCCACTGATTCTCAGTTACGTTAATCAGCCTGTCACATCCTCCTGAGCCCCTGCACCCCCCTGTATCCCCCCGCCCCCACACCCCCCAGAATCCTCCAACATGGAAATGGTTTGTGAATAGAAACAGCCATCATTTTACTGAAATAGCTCCTAGGTCTCATTAAAGACTGACCCAAATGAGCCTCAGGAGCATACGTTCTGTGAGAGAGCGAGAGAGAGAAATACCACAGTGTAGATTGGAGCCCAGGATTGAGAGCTGAGAGTTCACTCCCTTTAATTATTATAATCTAAGGCTGGGTTTAACAGCTCCATCCCCAGTCTCCTACAAATAAACAAAAATAGCAGCGGCTGAAATGACTGAGCGTGAAGTCATTACAGGAGGTCTCATCCCACAGCTTTGAGGAGCAATGATGCGGAGAACCAGGGCAATTACAAACCCTTAGACCAGATAGAGGTAACCTCCTCAAACAAATTTCTGTTTTTATTGTTCCTTGTGGGGTTTGTTGGTCGTCCGGAACTTCTGTCTCCAAACAGACTGAGATTTCCACATGTGTATGCCACCTCCACATGGATACATCCCCTCGTCTGCAGGGGAATGCGCACTCTGACCCAGAGAGACACTCATCAAAAACCAGAGGGTATCTGGTGCAGGTTGGTAAGAGACCAGGCTTGGGGGATATCCCCCAGTGTGTGTGTTGGGGTGACTGCTGGAGTAAAGTATCAAGGGATATAGGTCAAAAGTGGGTAATTGGAGTTGAGGTACAGATCAGCCATGATCTAATAGAATGGTGGAACAGGCTCGAGGGGCTGAATGGCCTAATCCTGTTCCTATTTTCCTATGAATGAGCTTCATAGAAACATAGGAACAGGATTTTTACCATAACGTGTAGTGATTGTGTAAGTTGTAGGCAAATGTGAACTTGAATTTATGGGCTGTAATGTGCCACAAACAGCCAGAAAGTGAGCGACCAATTATATTATGGGAGTGGTTGATGAGGACACTGGGAGAGAATGTCCAGGATTCTTCCCTCTCAGCTCCCATTGAACCCTGCAACTCCCTTCACTTTTGGAATCGACCACG